TTACTCACGCACTGCACAAAATTCGCAAAATAAATATTAGAGACGTTAATTACTGCCGTAGACGCCGAAACACCAACGAGCCGTAAATTAAATGCGATTAAAAAATGTACTAAACCAAAAATTATTTTCGTTCGTAACAACTTCACCCTTTCAAGGCAAGTTTCGAATATAAACTGAAGCTTTATATTTAATGAATAAACACCTCAGGAACCTCCGCCTATGATTTTACGAGTTTTACGACCGTTTTATGACTTGGGCCCTCATTTTGTGCTATCGACAAATCATGAACGGACTATAGAGAATTCCACAATAAATATTTCAGATATTTGGGAATTTTCTGGAACTTTCAGAAAAATACCAGCTCATTTGTAAAACGATCAAGGAAGTTATAAATTGCCATAGTCTATGTTTAAGCAGCTGAGTAATAAATCATTTTCAAGTCACTGTTCCATAGGTGTACATAATTGAGCCAGTTTGAATAATAACTCTTCGAGCTTTAACTGTCATTGTAATGGATAATGCAAGTTATCATTTCAAAATACTGACGCAAGGAGAAAAGTGGATATCATTGAGTGACTTCGACAAAAAAACATACCTACCATTTGATAAAACAAAGGTTACAAAAGAACTATTTTCCATAATAAGTTCCCATGAAGCTCACTTCAAGGAATATTTAATAGACAAGGTGGCACAGAAACGAAATATCATTATTCTAACTCTGCCCCCTACCTCAAGTGAAAGGGTTTTATTGCAAGAAGAAATTCGACATTTGGTTGAATTGAATATCTACACTGTGAATACTAATTTAGAAGTAAAATAACATCCGATTACTTACTTGGCAATATCATGAGGTACATTAAATGGGCTTATTTCATGCTATGAAAAATGATATATAGTTACTGGTTTGCTTATATAGACTGATCGAGTTAAGGGTATATTATACTTATCAAAAGCCTAATCGGTCCCATGATCTCTTTATATTTGCAGAAAAAAGAACAATTCGAAAAGCAAGAATTTAAATTCGTGTCTGTTGACCAATAAAAATGATCGTGTCTAGAGCGGAGTTGGCAAGTGTATTGGTTTTTAATATCCAATCACAGATCTGATGATCCAATTTGACAGACGCCATTTTTGTTGTTATTGTTGGCATCTCGGTGTGAAAACAACTGTTACAATTATCTAATTAAATAATGTTTTTTTGTTTCATTAGTTTACATTCCGAAAATTTTTTTTTCATGATAGTTTTGTAT